AAAAAAGTTAGATGGTCAACACGTCTCTAGCCCATGCCTCGTGGTCAGCGGAGCTGTAATGTCTGCATTTTTTGCCCCAAGTTGACCTCAAGGACATGCCAATGATCAGCGTGACATATTGGAATTATCAACACATCCTTCCCTTTATCTATATGCTTCTTTATGTAATTTTTATAGACATTGTGCTCATCCAAATTTGAAGCAGTTAGCAACCAAATCTGTCGAAAACAGAAAATAAAGAAAGCAGAAGAAATCCATATAAATGTAATATAACTCAAACTGTATTGTGATCGTCATTACTCACACTAAAATATGACGTGACAATAGCGTATTTTCTTTCGACATGGTCATTTTCTGGCAGCTTGAGCCATGTTCGAAGTCTTGCAACCAGAGGTTCAACGATCTAATGATTGCAAATGTAATAAGTTATTGTAATTGTGCAAAACTTGAATAACACCACATCTTAAACAAAAACTAACCTCATCCTTTAATCTTCCACCACGTAGAAGATGTAGCATATCATATCTGCATATAGTATAGTCTTCAACCTCAAAAACTATCCGACTACAAAATGTAGAAGACAATCAATGTATAAGCGACATATTCTAATCAACACCAAACTGTCACAGGAAAACACAAAATGTCACAGGAAAATGATAAATGTCACATGAAAACACTATATGTCACAAGAAAATACTAAATATCACAGGAAAACAATAAATATCATAGGAAAACACTAAATGTCCCAAACAAACACTAAATGTCACAGGAAAACACTAACTGTCACAGGAAAACACTAAATGTCACAACCAAACAGTAAATGTCACAGGAAAACACTAAATGTCACAAACAAACACTAAATGTCACAGGAAAACACTAGATATCACAGGAAAACACTAGATATCACAGGAAAACACTATATGTCACATGCAAACACTATATGTCACAGAAAAACATTATATGTCATAATAATAACACTTAATATCACAAACCTAATATAAATATCACAGAATAATACTTAATACTTACTTGTCAACTTTTAATATAAGAAATGTTGAAGCCACTTGTTTTCATCATCTGATACATCGGGAATGTCCTCAACGGTGAAATTATAGTAAAAGCCTTCGTCGATTGTTCCTGGTAGTCTGACATCAAAGTCTTGTGAAGAAGGAATGCCCATATTCAACATCTCCAATAATTTTTTTTCCTCTTCACTTTTTTCCCTTTTCCATAGCTCTGCAACAGATGTTCTCCTACCGAGGTGTGAAATTGCAAGTGGCTTCTCCTCGTCCTTCTTCCCCTTGTCGTCATCATCGTCCACCACAACAACGACACCTTTTTCCCCTTTCCTTCCCTTCTTAGGCAATTCAGTTTGGAAGGGAGATTCTAAGAACTTGGGCTTCTTTGTTGTTCTTTTGCTCTTTGCCCGTAGCCCACTGACAAATGCTTTTAAAGTATCATCGCTTTCCTCCTTCCTCTTCCTTCCCTTCTTCTTTTTGGGAACATCCTCAGCAACTTTTACTTCTTTAAGCTGTATAAAGATCACAGTTAATGAATATATATCACAGGAAATATTCATATATCACAAATAATAACCAAACATCACATGTAAACTGTTTTTGTCACATTATTAGACAAAATGTCACAAGAGACATATGAATGTCACAAAAGGTAGACAATTATCACATACCAAAGGGAACTATCACAAATAAGCAGTAAATGTCACATGCAATAAGCAAATATCACAAAGGAGAGTTACCTCCTCCAGTTCACTGCCCATGGTCTGGGTTTGATCACCTTCTTTGCCTCCCTCCTCTTCCTTCCCTTCTTTTTTCTCCGCCTCAACTTTAGCCTGTATACCACTCACAGTTAATGAATATATATCACAGAAATAAGACATGAATATATATCACAGGAAATATTCATTTATCACAAATAATAACCAAACATCACACTAAACTGTTTACATCACATTATTAGATAAAATGTCACAAGAGACATATGAATGTCACAATAGGTAGACAATTGTCACATACCAAAGGGAACTATCACAAATAAGCTGTAAATATCACATGCAATAAGCAAATATCACAAAGGAGAGTTACCTCCTCCAGTTTAATGTCCATGTCTTGGGTTTGATCACCTTCAATCAATGCCTCATCTTCCTTCCCTTCTTCCTTCTCTGCCTCACATTCTTTCTCTATTTGTGGATGCATAGATGTAAAAATAATAACCAATTTTAATTCAGCAAATATTTTCTCAATAATTTTTCCCCTCATGTGACACAGGACATAAGTTATTACCTCTCCTTTGTTTTGCCTGATATGTTTCTCCTCAGCAAATTTTTCTCAGTTTCGGCTTTAATAGCTAAAATATCAACGCCACGAGCAACAAGTACTTGCTCATAGGCTTCATTCAACATCATCAACTTTTCATAAGCTTCATTCTACATTAACAATAAACTGATAGTGAGCAAAAGTCACAAATAAGAAGATGACACATCCAAATCATCAACATTACCTCTTTTTGGACTCTTTTCTTCCCCAATGATTTTTCACCCGTAACTTCCTCCTCAACTTTAGCCTTTACCGTTGTAGGCTTTTGCTTTATTTCCTCATGAACATACCTCGTCACATCTTGCTCCAGTAAGATGTGGATTGCGGCTTCCGATTTCTTCAAAATCGTTGTAGTCCGCACCGAACCCACCTTCTTACCCTCCAATGTCCAATTTATCATTGGTGGCTTGGATTCATCTACTCTTGCCGGCTCTTTGATGTTTGAGATCTCATAATACCATAGCTTCAAAAAAAGGCCACATTCAATCAATGAAGTATAACATATTAGATACAAATGTCATAGATAAATGGCAATAATCACTTACAAGAAGATAAACTCACACATTAACTACAACTGTCACAAATCAGGGACAAATGTCACACATTGGTCACAAACGTCACATATGATTAGAATATATCACATGTAGAAGACACTTATTACATATAACAAGATAATATCACATTTAATTGGAAATAATCTCATATAACAAGATAATATCACATACAAACTACAAATAAATAGGAAACTTAAACAATACAAATTAGATACAAATGTCACATATAAGTGTCATATATCACATGTAAAAGGTAATGATCACAGATAAGGTGCAAATGCAACATATTACTTACAAACGTCACATATAACTCACCGATAGCAAGAGAGCGCAGCCAATGAGATATGTCTGCCCCTTCTTCGCTATCTTCGCAGCCTTGAAAGAGTCCCACAATTCCTTGTAGATGATCGTCGTCCATGGAAAATTATCAACCATATCTATCCGAGCTATATATTTGAACATATGCCGGGGTGCATTCATTCTCGCGGTCGGAGTCCATATCATTGTGAATTGATAGAGGCTTTGAAGCATAACAAAATCAGAAACATCCGTCCTCTTTCTTGACCGAACCAATCTTTTCAATAGGGCCTCAATGTAGTCTCGGCCACTCTTGTATTACGATTGTTGTTTGTTGGAGAAGTATGTGTTCCATATCCGATTCTCCGTATCGCAGTTACCTTTGGGTTTCTCCCCTTCATCATTAAACCGGGTATGTTTAAGCACCCAATTTACATCAAAAGTATACGCTTGTGGAGTCCCAGTTTGGCTATCCTTGAAAAAAAACTTCCCCGTGGCTAAATCCAGATGATCTAGAAGCAACATGATAGTAGCCTTGTCCGCTGGAATTGCTCCAAAACTAACATAATTTTTGAAATTGGAGGATCCATAAGCCCTCCAATGTTCAGCCCTCATCCGTGGATCCAAAACTAACATAATTTTTGAAATTGGAGGATCCATAAGCCCTCCAATGTTCAGCCCTCATCCGTGGAGCGATTTCATCCATGAATGTACAATATCCAGGATCCATAAGCCCTCCAATGTTCAGCCCTCATCCGTGGAGCGATTTCATCCATGAATGTACAATATCCACGTATATTACAAGAAATTCTGATATCATGCTTACTGTAAAACATAACACAACAGATACTACATCAACTTAGGGTTCTAATGTGGCTAAAATCACAATGACAAACACATTAAATCGACAAATATGAATGGTTGGGTTAATACTTACATCTCATGCTTACTCTTCGCTGATTCAGATGAGTGAGATGATGATGTCGACATCCCATCGAGCGTCACTGTTCGGTTTGGCAGAGAGACTCCAGCGACTCGCTTGCGGTCAGGGGGGGGGCTAGGGATCTTGTCAGCGGTTGAGCGTCGACAAAGACGGTTCACAGGTGAGTCGCCGAAGAGAAAGACGATGATGAGGGGTGTCAACGGTCTTGAGAGGAAAAGGGTTTCGAAGAATATGACGAGTGGCGGCGGTCTTCGACAAAGACGACGACGACGAAGTCGACGAAGCCGGTTCTAATGTGAGTTGTCGAAGACGAAAATGACGACGACGAGCGGCAGCGGTCTTCAGAGGAAGAGGGTTTCGAAGAATACGACGAGCGGCGGCGGTCTTCGACGAAGATGACGAAGACGGCGAAGACGATTCCCAAGCGTTGTCGTCGTCGACGGTTTTGGGAGGAAGAGGGTTTCAAACGAAAGGGAAGATGGTCTTGAAATTTGCTACGGGTGGTTTCGATAACAACGCCCAGAAAGGATGGTATAATGAATTGGGAAGGGTAATTTGGGGATACTTTTTGGGGTATTGTATCTGTACTCATATTGGGGGCTTGTTGCATTTCTTTTTCTGTATAAGGGCTTTTTGGATATGTTTTTTGGGCTTGGGATGGGGATGAATGACCCAACTTAATTTGGTTCCCCCAAGCAATTTTCCCATGAAATAAATGTAGAGGGTGTAAAGAGAAGAGAAAAGAGGATCCGAACCCGAATAACCCTCGTTACTTCGGAGCCAGGACCCGAAGCCAACCGCGCGAACCCGATCCGATCGAATATTCTCTCTCTTCCGGAGAATATTTGAGCAGCATCGATCGATTAGATTCGCCCTCTCATCAGGTCTCTAAAAATTTCCCCTCTCTCAAATCGAAACAAAACAAAACTGAAAATAACCGTTCGTAATTTTGGGGAAAAAGGGGAAAAAAATCATGGCGAATGCGGAGATATTGAAGAGGGAGGACGAATTCTTCCCTATCTTTGACCTGCAGAAAGGTAATTGTTTACTCAAAGGTTGCCCCTTTTTTCCCAATTACTTTTCTAATTTTTTTTCTTGTTTTTGTTTGATTTAATTTGTTATTTTTTTTCCTGAAGGAGATAATGTGAAGTCACGAGGGCAACTGATTGAGAAGAAAATCGATATTCTTGAGAGCTTGGCCGGCAAGGTAAGTGTTTGCTCTTGTACATCATTAATAATGAGAAAGATTATGTTTTTATTAGTTAGCTGTTATCTTTTGATCTGATTCTTAAAGAATTAGTGACATTTGAAAACTTTGATGTATCCCAACTCGTAATGCGATTGCATGTAATTTTAGATACGGTAGCTTGGTTCAGTTCCGAAATTTTGCAATTCGCAGCTGCAATTGTGGATTTAGTTGTTTGTTTTGGGTATCAGGTTTTTCATACTTATATTGACTGTTGGTTGCGCTAAAAAGGTTCTGACTTGGATTTACGGCCAAATTCGAAATTATGTTGTGTGCTGCAAGCCTGCAACTGGAGGCGTTTTTTTAACAAATGCATTTATAAGTAGTAGTCGAATAACTAGAATTGACGAAAAATTTTCCGACCACATGTAAATGTAGTTGCAGTATGTAAAGGATTTTAAATTAAGTAGGTGCCTGAAGTAAGATCATTCAAGAGTTGCATTAAATGGAGGGGACAACTTAGATGCCACCGAAACGTGTCGTCGTGGTTCTATTTCTACATGCCTTTCTCTTTCTGGATTTTTCCTGATCACTCTTCATCATGACATTCCTTATATAGTTATGTTAACTGTTAGTTGTATTTATAATCTCACGACATTTGCTTAGTTCCATTTAGTTTGAGAACTGTCAGGGGAAGCATTCCCTCTTGATTGATTTCATTGCAAAGCTGGACTCGAGTCTTTCTTGTATAATTCTTCATATTTCACAAAAGATGTTGATAATTCATATGAAGACAATGCTTGGAGCTGAAACAACATTGTTTTCAACTACCATTCTTGCATGGACGTAATGGGGAAATTTCTCCATATTCTATTTGTTGCAGTAGCAGCTACCATCTAGTGGCAACTACTGACAATTGACTAATAACAAGATGAATACTTGCAATCTTCAATGCCATCAATATATGCCTATTTTAACATGTCGACTTTCCCTATTGTCATGACATCACTATCTAAACTAGACATTAATTATTGCATTCATCATCTGTTTATGCCAACATTTATGCAGTTATCAAGTTTTTTCCACCAAACATTGTTAATAATCTTATCCTTGTTATTAATTCGCCTCTTAACTTATTCTATCATTGAACAACACTGTGGACTGAAATTTACAATGCTTTCTATCATCACGAACTGCATGCTAGCCTCCGTTCTTATTTATTCATTATTTTCACTCTAATGATAGCCAAACTAAATTTATCTAAGTTACTTAGGTCCAGAAGGTTGCAATCAGAAAAACAAAGTTTAAAGCCCTATAGGCTCTAGATAGCAGTTAAATTGATTTTGGCTCTAAATGTAATGACAAAAAGTTCCTTGGATCTCAACCATCATTGGTTCCACATACACCTTCATAGATTTAATTTGTTGTATCTCTCGTTTTCAGCATTTCATCACATTTATCTAAATAGTTGTAGTCTTATAGATTAGTTTCATATTTGTGTACCTAACTGTAGTTACCACATCGAAACAACTTTATAGTAATGCAACAACATTGTCAAAAGTTGACACGTAACAAGTAACAACTTATCAAGAAGTGCTAAGAATATTTAACTTTGCAGTTACATAGCAATGAGGACTTGTTGATCTGTGCATCCGTATGACTAGAAATCTATAAAATTGCCTCTGTATCTACGTAATAAACTGTAGTACTGGTGTGTGACTTGTCTGGATACTGCCCCCTTCTAATTTGTTGTATCTCTCGTTTTCAGCATTTCATCACATTTATCTAAATAGTTGTAGTCTTATAGATTAGTTTCATATTTGTGTACCTAACTGTAGTTACCACATCGAAACAACTTTATAGTAATGCAACAACATTGTCAAAAGTTGACACGTAACAAGTAACAACTTATCAAGAAGTGCTAAGAATATTTAACTTTGCAGTTACATAGCAATGAGGACTTGTTGATCTGTGCATCCGTATGACTAGAAATCTATAAAATTGCCTCTGTATCTACGTAATAAACTGTAGTACTGGTGTGTGACTTGTCTGGATACTGCCCCCTTCTATAAAATCATAGGCTGTGGAATCTTTGTTTTAACAAACTGTTAATATTAGATTCACTTGGAATCTAAATTAAGCATTCTATTTTTTTTCCATGTTTCAATGCCTTCGTTCATAAATTATATACTTCCATTTTTTTGTTCTCTAGTCGTTTGATCTGTTAAATGGTGAGCTGGTATATCTTCATGATTAAGGGGTTGACTTATTTCTTAGGTCTGACCATGAATGGAAGAGCTCACTAATTTTGGGCCTGCAACTTGGCTTGATTCTAGTGTGGCTTTCAAGTACTCTTGGAAAATTTTCATTCAATTTTATTTTAGGAATTATCTAATTTCATCTTTACCGGACTTCTCTACATCCACAGGTTTCTTCAGATGTTTTTTTGGTATGTAGAATACCTTCCAATTGGTTTCTCATCAATTTTTTAGTGAAACGTTTGATCTGTATCTCGCCTATGAAGTGATTTTCAAGATAATGCTTGTATCACCAGACATCTTGTAAATCATTTCCATGTCTCATAAGTTGCTGAGCTAAGTCTGCTGTGCTGGTAAAAAACAAGAAGAACATGAGGTTTTTTATATAAAGAACGAGCGGTGTGAGATTTCACTTGAAATAGCAATCTGAGGGTTGATTCATTAGATTTTAGCCTACTCCTAAGCTCTGAGATAAGGGCTTTGTTTTATTATATGGCTATATTCTGTAGCCAGATTTTGATTCTTAACCAAACTCTCAATCATTAATCTGATATTGCAATCAACTCTTAGCTTTGGTATAAGATAACAATACTAATTTGTTTCCGATAATTTATCTGTGGAATTGTGCTTCCTTATTATTATTTTATTTCCAACAACATTCAGCCTTCTTCTCTCCTTTAATCCAAACTATGTTGCTTTAATTAGTTGTTTCCTAGCCTGATCCTTTTTTTGGGTGATGTAAGCCCTCTTCAACTTTGACCATTTATTAGGAACCACCTCCCACACATTTTGTAAAATAACTTGGAGCCATTTAGTTTTACTCATATTCCCACTAGTTTGTATAGGAAGAATTACAGTCAGTAGGTTAGGATACATAATGAAGAGGTTGGGGCTTAACAACATTCAGTTGGATAGTTCATAACAAATTGATTATGAAGATAATTGTTGTTGCTAGGTTATTGCATAGATTAGATTCTCTCTATCCCTTCAAGCTGTAGCATAGACATTATCATAGGTAGCTTGATGATAAACGTGTGAAAAAGTTTCGGATACATGAAACAAACTATAAGAGGCTGATAAGACACGCGAGAAGAAAACCTAAGAGCCCCCTTCGGTGGTCCTGAGCTTCATAGTTTAAGAGAGGCTGTAGATTAAGAATTTGCTTTGGTACCATATAAAATAATTTGGCGTCAAGAAATTTTATTCATATTTCCACTAGTTTATATGTGGGGACAATTATAGTTAATAGGTTAATGTACATAATACAGAGGTTGGGACTTATAGTTGATAGGTTGTTGAATAGATTGGATTATCTAACGTTTTTTGATTCATAACCCTCTGCCCTCACTTTTTATAGTTAAGTTGAGTTTAAAACAGCACATGCATGTTTCTTTTTTTAAAATACCCCTGAATGACCCTTTTCTTCCTCGAAGGTTTGTAAAGCCCTCTTCACATCAAGTCTAAGTGAACAACTACTAAATGAGTCCAAGTACTTAGTCATCTTTTCATACTTGTTCTCTCTGACATGGTGACCACTAGGAAACCCAATTCTAGATTATTGTAGATTGGAATGAGAGAAAATTTGTTTAGAAGAAGAATAATAGGGTATTTTAGGAAATAAAATATACGTATGACTTGCATGTGCTCTTTTAAAGAAATTTTAACTATAAACTTGATGGTGAGGGGTATAATCAAAAGATAAAGTTAGACTGTTTCCTAATAAGTGGATAGGATGTATAATAATTACCCTACTTTTTTTCTTTATGGAAAAAAACGAACACGTCATACTTAAGATGATCCTATTTTGCTAAGCTTGAAACATCATTCTTTGACCATCTGCCTTCCACTTTCACCTGACCTAAGTATCCAACACAAAACTTTTTTTTGCTAGATGTCACTATTGAATTATCAATAATTAATTTTAAATCAAGCCAAGATTCTTGTAAATTGAAATGAGAGGGAGGGAAATTTTCTGAAGAGGAGAAGAAAAGGGTAGTTTAGGAAAGAAAATATACATGTGGCATCCACAAGATCTTTTAGAGAGAAATATCTGTGATTTTAACAGCAGAGGATATGTAGTAAAATGATAATTACCCTACTGGTTTTGTTTGTTATTAAAAAAAAGAAAACATCATTCTTAAGATGATCCTATATGACTAAGCTTGAAACATCATTTTTGACCAACCACCTTCCACTTTCATCTGATTTAACACTGAATTGTTTTTTCTAGATGTCACAGTCGAGTTAGCGAGAGTTAATTTTAAATCAAGCCTAGATTCTTGTAGATTGAAATGAGAGAGGAAGAAATTTTGTTAAGAGAAAGAAGATGAGGGTAGTCAGGAAATTAAATATGCATGTGAGTTGCACATGCTCTTTTAAAGAGATTTTTTTACTATGAACTTCATGACAGGGGTTATGTAATATATGTAATAAAAAGGTAAAAGTAGAGAGTTTCCTAATCGATGGTCAAAGTTGGAGAGGTTTTTCCAATCACCCTACTTTTTTCTTTGTAAAAAAGAAAACACAATTCTTAACATGATCCTATCTCACTAAGCTTGAAACCTCAGTTTTTGACCATCCACCTTCCATTTTCATCTTATTTCGTGAATTATTTTACTAGATGAGACACTTGAATTGTCAACGATTAATTTCAAGAAAAACTATACTAGGTATTCTTGATATTCATATTAAATTTGAATCTTCCAGTGATGCATGCTTTTTTCATGTCAACAATTGTTGGTATTAATGAATTATCCAATACTTACGCCTCGTTTGGTACGCGAGAATGGACATAAGTGAAAATGGAATGGAAGAAGGAATGGAATGGATTGTATGTGGGAATGGAATGGTCATTCCCATTCTCATGTTTGGGTACTTTTGTAGAATGAGGCTAGAATGAAAATCTCGTTCTCATTCTCATGTTTGGTATCACTTGTCCACAAAGTGAGAATGGAATCGCATTTTCTAATAATGTCCTTACAACAACATATATTTTTAATAAGATAAAAATAAACATTAATGATAATAACTAAACAATTTTATTTATGCATATGTTATACTAATTTCTGTGCATGTTATACTATTGCGCATGTTATCTCTCAAGTGTATGTTCTATTTATATTTTTTAAACAATACTCACTATTTCTTAGTCTTAAAAAATTAAAGAAAAATAAATAAAAGATTATCGCATCTTTCATAGGTCCAAAAAAAATATAAAGAATGATATCCACAGTTGATGCATATTGCATATGAAAAGGATGTCAGAATTACTAATGTGGAAATCAGTTGATTAATAGGGGTATAATTAAAAAATAAATAACTTATTTGATTCTCTCTTGAATGGGAATGACCATTCCCTATCTTCTCACTTGGAATGCACATTCACACAAAAAGTGAGAATGGTCATTCCCTGGGAATGGTCATTCCAACATCTAAAAAGTTGATTTGTTTGGTATGAAGGAATGAGAAGTGAGAATGCTATTCCATTCCACCCCATTCCCGCCTACCAAACGAGTTGTGCTAACTTCACTTTGTTTGTTCTTAGGCTAATATTTTGTATGTAATAGGTTAGTAATCGGCGATCACGCAGATGGTTAAATGATCGGTTTTTGATTGAACTTGTTCCTCGTCTGAATGTTGAAGAAATAAGAGGCCTCTTTGCTCCACCTCCATGGGGTAATTTTTTTTACCCTTTAATATTTCCTTATTGTCACAAATTGTCCCGTTGTGTTATTCACATTTTATATACTCGGATAAAGTTGATTTTATTATTTTAACTTACCAGCATGTCTTCCTGAAGCATGGGAAGCTATAGCTGTTAAATTTTGACTTCACTACCTTTTATGTATTCTGGAGTGTTGATGATTGGCTTGTTCCACAAAATTATATGACCTTCACTCTATGATCTAAGATAGGTTATGTTGCAGCAAAAAGGTAATGTTTTCATGCGAATCATCTTTAGCTGCTGTTTGATGCAATTTTGGCAAGATATCATGTTTTGCATTAGCAATGTAATTTACTATATGTATGGATTCTTTTTGTTTATCCTTTTGTGTGCTACTACGTACGTTAACAGCTATTATAACATGATTATTTTTTATTATTGTGGTTTATTGAGAAAGATAAGAAACAGATATTTTAAATTCTCATGTGTTATTGCATGCATGTTTGAGGATAGGAGACTATGCTTTAAATGTCCCGACATTTGTGTTTATAACATAATGTATTACCATGGTGTTCTGGATTATTACTCATATACTACCTGATCTATGATATAATGTAGATATTAAAACAAAACTGAAAAGTTTTAAGTGCTCCCTGAAAAAATAAATTTTATGTTGATTCCTAGGTAAATTTAAGCCTTGGTGATAAAATGGTACCTTTTAGATGATTCCACTTGCAGGCAGGGGACCTCGGTTCAAGCACTTAACAGTAATTGGAATTGTTTGTAAATATTTTCTTTTCGGAAGGTATTTGCAAAGAGGTCACCAGATTGAAGTCAAATGTGGCCAGCTGTTAAACCCCAAACTTTTTATTGTGGATGGAAAGAGCATTGACTCTCAGTTATTCAGAGGGAAAACCCTGAAAGCTTTTTGTGCAAATTACAAGATTTTGTGACTTCTGTCATTTCTTTAATTGTCTTAATAAATATATCCTATTCTGACATTGACTGAAGATTCACGTGAGTTCTTGATTTCATTTCTTAACTCAATTATCGTTTGTGTTTACTCTTTGCGTAATCCATTAATCAATTTTAGTAATAATTATCTTTCTCCCTCTTATTTAGTCCATCTTATTAGTCCATCATGTATATAATTTGGTCATGTTACTCTTGCAGGTGATGATACACCGCTGTCAGCATTTAGTATGACAAATGATGAAAAGTGGGATGCATTTAGAAACATTGACATGGATGCAGAGGTTTAGTTCTTTTCTACATCATTAATTACATATTAGTTAGTTCCGTTTCTTGGTTATGGACATTCACATAAAGATCATAATTTACACGATCTACTTTCTTCAAATTTCCTGCATCCTAGGAATGGCTATTGAGATCTATGTTTATTTGCTATTGTGACCAAATTGCAACTGACAGCCCATACAGGCCCATGCCATAAGGTGCAGAATCTAATCTACCTCTATTCTTCTCCTTGAAGCAAGCAATTGAAAAAGCTTTACAAACAGAGGCTCTTTTGCCAAGTGACATAAGCCACGTATGGCAGTTGAGCAACCTTTTCACTCTTTAGCACTAAATTGTGTTAGCTCTTGAGATAAGAAGTTCAACCTACTTTATGAGACAGGGTTTGTACATATATCTGTTATTGAAACATTATTTTGTTGTTTATGAGGACACTTGTGCTGATTTTGGCTTTTCCATCTTAGAGACTGAAGTTTCTTCAGTTGTCTATGTATTATCTAGCTTTGATGCATGAACTTTTGCAGACTTTCATGAGCTTTTAGCATTTCACATAATACCACCATAGATTTTCTTTTTAATGAATATCAAGCCTTGAACTATGTATTTACTTTTAGAAAACTATCTTTCTTTACCTTGATAAGTTCCCATGTAAGGCATGTGACATTTTTTGTATCAAAATGTTCTATCACCTTTTGACTCTATTTGGTTGAAGTAGAGACTCTCAGTGGAACCAGGACTCCAGATAGACTTTTGAATTCAATGCTTGACGGTATGCAGTTAATTCATTATTATCATCCTGTTCAGAAATAACTGAACATAAGTTCCACTTGACATGTGCAATTTGCTACCTACTCATTGTAGAGAAAAAAAAATCTTATGGTTAAATGTGCAAAAATGATATCTGTAATTTGTTTATGAACATAATTCTCTAATCAAGAGTATTTAATTTTTCCCTAAAATGTAAGCATTAGGTGATGGAGCTTTAAAGCACTAGACCATGTTCCTAATCATATATAAATGGCTAAATGTGAGTATGTCTAATTTTTTTATGAACATAAGTCTCTGATCAAGAGTATTTCACTTTTTCCTAAAATGTAAGCATTAGGTGATGCAGCTTTTATGCACTAAATCATATTCCTTGTCATATATAGTTCTTTTCTTTCTAATATTATCTACTTATCTATTTACAACCAGAATAAGTAAGTAGGGTTAAAGAGTTTTCTGTTAGGCGGTTAGACTAAAGGTATTCTAGAAGTTCCAAATGAGTTGGCATGCTATGAGAAATTATACAGTTTGGTATTAGGAAGCCATGATAACTCTTAAACATGGCACAAGTAGATCAAAGGTGAAATTTTTGACGGTATTGGGTTTAATGCATGTCTGCAGCACCCCATCGTGATTGGACTACAGGAATAATGGACAGCTTCTTCTCTGCCCTTCTCCTCTAGGCTTTCTTGCTAACATTATTTTCAGAATATGTTGTTAAAAATTGTAATTAGTAATAAAGAAATTCTCCTAAACCATGTAGGTAATGCACATCTGCTTACTTTCTGTTGGACTATTACATATTTTTACTACGTCCTAAAATGTAGACTAGATGGCTAACGGACTGTTGGGTCTTTTAGCCTTAATACAAGAAAACTGTACAAAGTTATATCTGTCATGATTTGTTTGTAGAGAAATAATCATACCTTTAATATGTAACATAAATATTGGATTAACAACACTGTGTTATGAAATAAAGGCTAAACTCGGTTGCACGTGTTATGCTTCTTGAAAGCTCCACTTACATGATTTCAGCACTCTGTTGAAAGATCCACATTTCTTCTCACTCCAGTTCGTTTTATTCTTATCATTCCATGGTTTGAGGTTATTCATGTATGACAGTGAGTTGTTTGTTTTTTGTTTTTTATTTTTTATTTTTGGTGGAAATTGGATGACTTTCGACGGTGATATGGGGCAATGTTTTAAATATTGGCCGATAAACCGATATTATCGGCGATTTATTGGTTTTGGGGGCCTTCCGCTATGATAAGTTCAATTCTAAATCGGTTATCGTTTTTCAATTTTTCTCACCGATAATGTGGCGATAAAATGAGTTATCGACTGATATTGTCAGCCAAAAAATCGGAATTATCGGCCTTTAGTTTGAGTTTTGATTACGCGCACCTATTCAGTGCACTTTAAACCCGACCCGAGTTTTCACCATTGGTTAGTGATCCTAAACATAATTATTTACATATTGGTATGTTTATATTTTATTAAGTATGGTTAGATTACATTTTAGAATATTATATTATGTCTATCACCATCCGATAATGTCACTAGGATAAATACTATTTATCCCCGATATATCCCTGATATCCGCTATCTGATATGGATTTTGACCGTCCGATAAATCTCCGATAAACGATATTTAAAACCTTGATATAGGGACATGAGCCTCTACATTAATTAGTATCTAACATTTTAGGCTTATAAATATTTGGTTTGCCAGCCAAATCATGTAGAGACTTTCTCTTTTTTTATTTCATCTTTATTGCACTTGAAATTTGAATGTTTTTGCTTGCTGGAATTTTATGAGTAGTAAATATTGTTTAATTACTCCATTAACTGAAATATGATAACTCTACTTGTGCTTTCATGTAGACAAGAATGATAAGGTCATTGAATAAATCTTCATTGAAAAGAAAGGACCATGTTGATAATGACAAGGTGGCTGCACTGAAAGCATGGCACCAAGTCGATTGCCGAATAAGAGAGGCACTGCGACGTAGTTCTCTTTCTGATTTGGTTGAAGGATATGAGGTTAGTGTTGCACAGTATAGATACGTTGCAACATTTCAAACCTTCACCTCTAAATTTTGTTTGTCACGTGCTTTTAATCTTCTCTACCTTCATATCTCGTGAATACTTAACTACATTACATGGCTGCTGATTATTCTTTTATCCTTTTTATTTTTATGCATTCACCAGTGAAATTTTGTGCATTCTCAAGAATTTAGTTGCACATGATTGTAGTAGTTGGTTGCGAGCAGAGAAGGCTCTTTAGATATCATATGGAAGAGGTGTCTTCTTTCATTCATCCTATTCTGCAGTAATAGTCTGGATGCAACCACAAAAACTTGGAAGGAAATGTTTGCCAGATGTAACATTAGGACTATTCGTAAGGAGAAACATGGAAGGAAAAAAAGGTAACTCAAAAAATAAGCAGAAAAAGAGAAGAAAAAACAATGCAGTGTTGTTTCAGTTGTGATGGGATACAGATCTATGTATCCTTCAGTTTGTCTAGCTTTAACATCCATATTCATCTCAAATGTAAAGTCTGCAAATTTTCGCTTAGGCATATTCTCTCTATTGTATTATCTGCCAGTTTGGGCTACTTGTTGAAAAACGTTTTGCCAATTTATTTATCATTTGTGCCTACAACAAGAGTTCACTAGTTTTGCATCAATCATGCCCAATATATCCTTCAAATCTTAAGTTATAGTTAGTAGCTTATGAAACAGACTCATATTCATTGTAACGATGAAATTTCATTATAGTCCCTAATGAAAAGTTTTTGAACTGTAAAACAGCGAGGTGAATAAACCTTACAATCTAATATTGCCAGTAATCTTGAATGAGGAAACAATTTCTTCACTGGCACGCACCATCTTGATATTTAAGCACAATGATATCACATTACCAGGCCTTTATTTCTGTCATTGCGACCATTAAAGCCAGCAACTCCTGATGAGTTGCAAGCCCTTAAATGAAATTTAAAGTACAGTATTATTGCCTTTGCTATTATTTTCTGGTTGTTCAACCTAAATATGAGATTAATCTTTTGAAGGGTTAATTGGATTGTTGTTTTTTTTGGGCATAAAAACGGCGGGGTTGTTAGTCACTGTATTTGCCACGTAATTGGATGTTTGTACGTATGTATAAAATTCTTGGATGGCTGGTCATGTAATTAAAAACTGATTGGATTGTTAATCATTTCTAATGCTTTCTGACAATTAGGCAACTTTGGGTAGCTTATATGGCATTTGGCATTTTGTTCTTGAAAATATCAACTTGTGACATATTGAGTATGCTGTTCTGCTTCAAGACAAATGAATATACAATTCAAATTGAAGAATTTCTTCACAAGAAGGACATTTAGTTTTTATATTGTTTCATGAGAATACTAATCTTTTTATGTAAGACTTTCTTGCGTTACCTCGAAGGAATCCATTATGTTGACAACGGAAAACAGAAGAAGTGATTAGCGTTCCAATTAATATTTAATTACATGACCGGTTATCCAAGCAATTGAAACATAGGTATGAACATCCAAATCATGTAATGAATACAATGAACAATGATCCATTTGGCCCATCTTCTGAAGGATCTGGTAGTTAATGCGAGCGATGGACAATTGACTACGTGTGTTTGAAGTTGTCCACGAATTTATAGTAGCTTACGAGAATGTAGGGTTGTGCATGTACATCATGATATGTTGGAATTTTACTTAAATTTATTTTATTTGAATCCTTTTTGCATGCTTATGGTTACATTTTTTTACCTATTCATGATATTAGGAGCGCATAATGTCATTTATTAAAGATAGCGGTGAAGGAGAAGTGCTTGTGCTGCATATTCAGGACCCTTTTCACAGATTGGTGCTGCATGGTGTCTGTGAGGTAAGATATGGAATCTTGTTTAGTTTTATTAGTTGAAGTAAATCTCTGGTAGTTCTGATTCCATTTATCCAGCACCTTTAGTTCTGCCATTTATCATAGTCATTAGCGTTAAATGCAGATATACCCCTGTGCTATCACCCAATTGCAGGTAGACCCCTTTGAATTCTATTGTTGTGGACAGTCTCCCTTACTGTTGCCCAATTGCAAATAGAGCCGAGTGAATTTTTAGACTACCCTCAGGTGGTCTATATGCCCAGAAACAAATTCCCTTTCTCTAACAGTAGACGAGTCAAAAAAGTTCACGCAGGGGTTCTATTCGCAGTTGGGCGATAGTACAGGGCATCTATCCACAATCAACCCTAGTTATAAAAAATCCCTGCTCCCCTGTTTTCTTTGTTCTTAGGGTGATCGCATGTGTCATCTATCTGCCTTTTATCCGATTAGTTCCACGCGCAGGCCGTGCGACTAGTTTCTTCTTCGAGTCTAATCAACTCAGTTAATCTCTATATATGATGTTTCACGCCTCATTTCTGAAAGTCATTTTTCTATCTTGTTAGCTAATGTTATTTTGTGTACAGTACTACAACTTGATCTCGGTAACATTGACGACTACAAAGGGTGTTAAGTTGTGGAAGACGACAAATATAAAGAAGAAATTGGGATCTCGTGGGTCCCCCCCTAATATCAGCCTCTCTGGTTTCCTGAAAATGGCAAAGAATGGGGTTCTATGAAGTGTAGACCCCTAGTTTGTACATTAATACTTGTTGTATGGAATGATTGGCAGCAAAATATTATGCCTGTTGAAGCCATGGTGAATTTATTGTAGCAATTAGATTTAGTTATGCTACATGCTTAAATCCCTGTAATGCATATATCTAATGGCAACCATTGCTGTCAGAATAAGGCGTGTAATATTATGTGCCTTGGTGATAAGTCCAGCACTTCCGAATACGTAAGGAGAATATCTTGAAATACAGGCTTAATTGTACTTTAATACCCTATAATTTCAACTACACTGCACCTCTAATTTGAAGTTATATATATATAACCTGAAATTTATAAGAACCTAGAGAAAGATTCTTAATTTAAAAAAATTGGTTGAAGCAAAAGATAGGATTTCATATTTTACTAGCTCAAAATGTACTTTTATTCCTTATGCGATATCAAAGCAAAGGAAATTCCCAACATGCTTCTCCTAACAAAATGGGAGATTAAAAAAAAAAGATATGATGAGTTTGGATTTGGATCCTCTCCACTACAAAAAACTAGTGGAGAGACCACTACTTTTAATTTCAAGCGTTGATTATTTAGTAGGTGGTGATGATACAATCTAAATCATAACCATAATCTAACACTTACCATACCCCCGTGTATTGCACTCATTCCTAATTTGCACTAAAAGAAAAAATCATAATCATCAATTAGATAATCAATGGCTGTGATTATGTAGTGGTCCCTTCACTATTTTTTTTGTAGGGGAGAGGATCCGAATCCGATGAGTTTGAAGCGACTGCCGTGTGGAAAGTGGTGATCGATATCATTGCTACTTTTCTTTGTCTTGATCCCATAAATTTATCTTGATCTGATTGGGCCTACTATTGTTCTAGGTGGCGAAATGCCCGCCCTTTCTAGTAGAAATACTTTAATTATTTTTTTTGACTATATAATTGGTTGGACTCTTCAATTATTACACTCACTAGGAAGTGCAATTGGGTCACATGCTCTGTCTTGAAAAACTCTTGAGAGCGACTTTAAACTTTGTTGTTTTATGCATATTTTAGTAAGGGGAAAAAAGTGTACCTTATAATTATCGTGCCAGAAACTTCATTGTCCTTCTCCCTTCTCCTACGTAGGACTTCAACAATAACTATTATAGTGATTTACTTGTTTCCACGGTGATTTAGTTAAAAACAAAACATTATGCGTTTGGAAACCATGGTGTTTTTTTAAGCTAAATCATCCTCAAACAAAAAACATAATACTTATTTTAAAACACCTTTTGGATATTTTAAGTTTGGTGTTTTGGTTTTGAGTTTCAAAAGATTTTAATATAATATCTAACATAATATATTAAATATAATTAATTCATAGTTATTATCAACATGCTTATTATACTATACTATACTATATTATAGTTAATTTAATATATTATTAATATTTTTAAATAATATAAAATATAATAAATAAAATATCTTATATAATAATATAAAACATATTAAATACTACTATTTAATATGTTAATAATGTATTATATAATAAATAAATAATTAAAAAATATAAATAAACTAATAAAAAATAATATTGTATAGTAAATGTAATATAATATATAAAATATTAATATATTATGTAATAAATAATATAATTTATTATAAAGTAAAATAATTTTTAATAATAAAATAATTTATTACTAACAAATGTTAATGTAAAAATAATATATTCATACTATAATAATATTTATTTATATCATAAATACTAATATATTATCAAAGTACTATTAATAAACTTTAACATATTAAAAACTATAATATATTATATAATATTAAAATATTTATAATCTATTAATTTATTAATAACATACTTGTAATAACATAATATTAACATTATTAATAATATTATATTATATGAATAATAGTATAATATTATACTATATTAATAATAGTATAATATTAAACTAATAATAAAATAATACTATTATATACCAAAATAATTAAATATATAATTATTTGAAAATAATATGTAATAATTATAATATAATATAACTCATTAAGTATAATATAATATTATAATACATTATACAATATTATATTGCATTACATTTAGTACTTATAATATTATAATAATATAAACTAAATATTCTAACATTTTCTTTATAATATATTTTATTATAATTTATATATAATATATTAATAATATGTTTAATACTAATATTATAATGGGTTAAACTAGTGTTGATCAAAAATACTTAACATGGTGTTTTAAAAATATTTTAGGGAAAAACATAACACCATGCTGTTTTTTTACAAAAACACAATAAGAAAAACAACATGTTATCCAAATGAAACCTTAGTTTTCAAAATAATATTAACTGTTTTTGAGAAGCCGAGTTGAGGGCTAAGGATATAAATGCCATTGGAATCTCATACACCAACTCAATAATTAAACCGTACAGGCTAGTTGTTTGGACTTTGAAACTACTAGTGGTGCGCAGCACGGTGTTTTTTTTTTGCTACAGTGTTCCCGCCGTTTTTAAACTCTCCCGGTTTGAATTTTCTGGGGTGCTACAGTAACCCGCCTGCTACAGTGCCATTCCCGAGCTGCTACAGTAACCGATCTGCTACAGTGCCCTTTTGAATCTCTCAGCTGCTACAGTAATACTGCTACAGTAAATCTACTGTAGCATTTACTGTAGCACGAACAGTGACTCTTGTTTCTCCCATTTGTATAAAAGAATAGATGTAAGCACTTAAACAAGTAGGAGCTATAACGCTGGCAAGATAGATACACAACTAATGATCTTATCTATAGTTTTTTTTTTAAATTTATGTTTTATATTATCTCTTTTGTTTTTTTTAACTTTTCCCCCTGCTCTTTTGTACAAATCCGTCAGGTTTCTTCAAGTACAGAAAATCTTATAACAACGTCTTGCCTCGGAATAATTTTTTGAGAGACGCTACAGGCACACTCTAAAGCACACCACCAACCACATCCCCCCTCTCTACAGTGCAGGGGGGCCGACATGTGATTTTTTTAAAAAATCACACGTGGGGCTATGAGCGTACGAGCAAATTAGGCAACAACACTGTGTTGGATTTCGAAAGATGGTAGAAGGTCAAAAACTGAAACTCTTACTGACATGTAAACAAGACTTATATAAAATACGAATATTACGAGTACTCATACGATGTAAACTTCTTACTTGCACTCATAAAAGAGAGCACTCTAGCTCACAAGGACACTATCACACTCACTACACACTTGACCCTTAAAGACTTGTGTGTTTGTGGGATAGTTACAAGTGAACACCCATGACCCTTATTTATACTAGTGGGAAGTAGATTAGTGAAGCTTCTAGAGAACTAGAAAAATATGTTAAAAATGACATGAAGAAAATATTCTAGATGGAGAGAGAAGTGATGAGAAGGAAGCAAGAGATACCATAGGATAGGAAGAAACTTGGAGATTTTGGAGGAAATCTCCATGAGGAGTGAGAGAATTGGAGAACGTTCTAGAAGAATTCTCAAGTGGAGGTGTTGATTTCTTAACACTCCCATTCAACACCGACTCTTCTCAATCTTGCTGTCGCTCGAAGTTGCTCTCAAAATTTTGCTGCAATGCTATGGCTTCTTCCTCCATTAGGCTTCTATATACTTCTTGAAATGAGAATGATTCTTTAATGTCTTCAACTTTAGTAAGAGGTGTGTTAGCGTACTTATGATTACTCATCATTATCTGCTGGATCTTCGAAGTTCAATAATGTGGCAGAACTCTTGAATAGAAGAAGAACCAGAGACAAGTGAAGCCTTTAAAACATGTTGTTACCCCCTTACACTAAAAGGAAGAAGAAGGCAATTGAAGATAATCTAAATGTGGGGGAAAAAGATAGAGTTGAAGTGAAATCTGATAAGGATATGTTGTCTGCCAAGCTACATGGCAGATTTAAACATTGGGGTTCCTTTTCTGCCTAGCTTTATGAACAAATTTTATGATGAGTACCCCATATTTCTGCATAATTTTAAGATCTCGAAAGATGTCGCTACCAAACTTACAGAAGAGGAGAACAAAATTCTCAACCATTTCTGTATTTGCTAGTGCAACAAATAAGTATTTACCTCATATTTTAATTTTGTTTCTTAGTTGTTAAGGTTATCTCCTAGTTGTGAAGGTTATCAATTGGATATTGATAACCACATTTTTATTACATCTTTATATCCTCATTATCTATTTTATTTAAATAAAATAGTCACTAATAACATATTTTATCTTAATTATAGGTTAATGATGATTAATGAATAAAAGCTCAAAAAGAACTCAATTTTTCTTATTTTTAACCTTTTATTGAAGCTCAGGATCAAGCCAAGTAGTCTATAGAAGTTGAAAAAAATAAGGATCCAATATGAAAATAAATCAAGTCAAAATTATGTTCAGGATGATTAGCTACAAAGAAACGATGATATCTCTCAATCCGAAAAGTGAAATTTAACATATAATATATGAAAATCGTCTATCTTGACGAGACAGAGCTATCTACATTTTTAGAATCTTGAAATCTCAATCATGGTCAACCAATCGGCTAATTAGTTGGTCAACCGATCGGTCAATCGGTTGGTCAATCGATTGGTCAACCGATTGACTGACCAATTGATTCGTAACAAACTTGTTTTGTGGCTAAGATTTAATCATTGCAACCTAAGCAAATTCCAAATGTTCTTGTTGCTTATTGTAGGCTATAAATAGAGGTAGAGGATAAGGGGCTTAAGTGTGAAATTTTTTGTAAAAGCTCAATTTGGAGAATATGGTTACTCTTAATTGAGATGACATTTCAAAATTATAACTTTGTTTCCATTAACAAATTTTTTTTTGCCTCTTCATATTTTTTTTCTTCTCTTTATTTGTTGATGAAGATAAGATGAAAATGAAGATTTGCCTTTAAGGGGCTAGAAACCTCTTATAATATAAGTTTTTCTTTTTCTCTTTTATTTTTGCTTAGATTTTTATGTTTTAGGATTTTTTTTGGTAGATTAAATTTATTTTGATGCATTGTAGAGTAGATTTACTTGCATGCTTTATTTTTGTATTATTTTCTTGCATTTTAATTTGGTAATATAGATTTATTTTCTTTTTTTTATAGATAGATTTATGTTTATGTTCATAGTTTAGATCTTATTTGTTTGTTCATATTCTTACTTTTGTAGTTAGTTTTTATTTTTCTTATATTTTATTCTCTTTCTTTCATACTTTCTATTTTAGATTTTTTTCTCTTTATTTTTTAATAAT